ACATTTTTTTTTTTTTTTTTTTCTATTTTTTTTACTGTTTACAGACCGACCTTTTGTACATCGTTCAGATCAAGGGGATACAAATGTGACGACGACGATTCATGAATTTACCAATTAGAAATTTTTACCGAATCAATACCATGTTCCAACGATCGTGTTGCTTTACCGAACCATTAGAAGAATATCGGAGGGAGGACGAGTTTGGGCAATAGCTATGGAAAAGATAGTCTAAAAAAAAGAGCAGGCTTTTAAGCGATATAGTTTTATTGATTCTTAGATAGTGTTATAATTGTATAACGACACGTATACGTTGATTTCTCTTTTGAGGATATTTCCTATTTCTAATGAACATGCATATCTGATGCTTCATTCGTGAGGAAAAATCGATACTATCGTAAAAAGTTATTACATGTCACAAAAAAATCGTATACAGACCTCGTGAAAGTTGAACACGATATCGTCGGGCAGCTCGAATAATCGAATAGTAATAGAAATAAGAAGGAAAACAGTTGTTTTACTGATGGTATAAAATGCAAACCTCCTTGGACTTGTGCTAATTGGTACTGTCTCACATAAGGAAAAATTGGAATTACTTAATTGGATTACTTGCCTCTTTGCCAAACTGCCATTACTGTACTAATTAAGAGAACATAAACAGGGGAACCGAAGAACTCTTGCCTTTCTTCGTTGTCCTCGATCTCCTATTCGTTTGTTTTACGTTAGCATAAGATCAAAATGAATACATCTACAATTCATGACGAAAAGATAGCACACCTACGAACATTGTAATTTCTTACATGTACATACAAATGCAATACAATATAAATTAAAAGTATGTATTCAAGCGAAATGGGCTCAAATACATTATATGTATGCATATTTGTTTTTCCTTCTATTCAAAAGGCAATAATTTTTCATTCAACTTTTTATGCTACGTAATAAATAAAGTAATAAATAATAAACAATTGTATATAATTATAATTGAAATGAATTAATTCACTACGCCCAAATTTGAGAAAGCATGAAACAAACCAGGCGTGCTATCTTTCTGTCGCAGAGTATATGAGGCGAAGGAAGAGACAGTCCACCGAAAAATGCGTTTAATTCGCCAAAGTATACTAAGTATAGCAATTGCCAAAGTTTCTTTTTTGTAAGTATAAGAATGTCGAACCAATTAATTACAGTAAACGCGCACAAATTGTTGAATTATTTGCGCTATCGCTTTTTCTTATCACAAATTTCTAATTGTTACCATTGTTAATTGCGTCTCATTGTTATGTTTTTTTTTCCTCCCCTCTTTTAATTCTAAGTATATTTAGTGTCTTGACCTGCCGAACAATCGAGCGGTCCGACGATTTTATGAATTCTTAATTTTATGGCTGGTTATATATTTTGTGTGTTAATAACCATATGCACACAAAGGGAAGGATCGACTAACGTATGACTTTTACAAATCAGATATTTTTTTACATATTAGAAAGATGTGACATTTTTTTTTTGTGTGCGATGTATTTAATGACGATTATTATTGTCGATGTTTTCCTGGTGTGCATGAAACCTTTTATGAGACTATAAGATAAAATTGTGAGCTCGAAAGAACGAATGCGGGAGTATAGATGAGGACAAGAAATGTCGAGTGTGAGATTGTATGATAATTATAAATAAATGTACACATTAAGTCTAATATACATGCTTCTGTCGCTTTTTTATTACTTCATAGATGTTACGGTGCTAAAGAAGCTACGAGGTTTAATATATCCGTAAGTACGAAGTAACATTTTGTTTAAAATATTTACGGATTTAGGAATATCGTAAATTTTAGGTAGTGCAGTTATAGGAACATAAAATTGGGATTAAGGAACATGAAAACATAGATCTATTAATAAATATTCATTGACAACTTTGTGTGGCGAAAAATTTGTATCATTTGACTACGAAAAAGTGGATACAATCTATACAAGTATACAATGTGCTTATGTTACTTAGTCATCAGCGTTCGCGACTAAGCAGTGGCAGCAACAATCGCAATAAAACTTCGTCGAGTTGATATTGCACAAAAACATTTTAAAAATCAGCTCTCACAAACCATCGCTCAAAGACTGTCGAATCGCATTTATTTTCTTATAGATATTGAGATATGCGAAACAACCTTACATTTCAATTATATGGCACATTGATGTAGTAAGTCGGGAGCTTCAAAACATGAAACAATTACTTTTAAGCAGAATTATATTATTGCAAGTTCAGTTACTTCTTTATAATTATTTTCTGTTACTTTGGCTCTTTTTCTTAAGTTTAAAATATTTAAGGTGTGAAATCACACGCACGTTTAATGTTATTAACATACTTCATTAGAAAAAGTTGAATCCTTACAGGATACGAATCATGATACA